AGTTGTCATGAAGACCTGTGGGGTTCACTCTGTCTGTGAGTTGATCAGTAAGATAAAGTCTATAAAACACCATCTGGTGGTTGGTTCTTGATCTACAACAAGAGTTGTGCATCTCTCAGTAGCTGTGCTGCCACTCATGTTACAACGTGAACACTCGCAGATTATATATGTACAAAAAAAAGTTTTCTTTAAATTGTTATTTAAATTTCGTGTGCACAGCTTACATTCAGATGCACTCTACAGAGCGGCCATTACTGTACTTTAGTTTTTTTAATGTGTGAAGGGTCGTATTATGTTCTGACCCGTGTCATCTGTCTGATCGTCTGTAAGCAGACTCCTTCCATCTTTTAACGGGATTTGACGACACGTGGTGGTGAAGTATTTTCACGGGGAGTTTCACGTGTATTTGATCCCTTCAGGCACGTGTTGCTTCGCCTCGCTCTTTGTTTTTATACGCCTGCACCAAATAATTCACGTCCAGTTTATTTGGTCCTCCAAGAACCTTTTTTATTTCTTCACCTGTTCGTGTCATCTTTACTGTTGTCTCTCATTTGCTTTTGTTTATCTGTTGTGTAGAAAACTCTCTTTATTTGCTTTTATTAAACAAAACTATTCTTTGTGTCTGTGCATATCTGTACATTTGTAGTTGTTTGTAACGCCCTCTGCTGTCGTCCCTCTGTTCTGTTCCTGCAGACTCAGGAGACTCGTGTGATTTTACATTTTCACTACACCACCTGGCCCGACTTCGGAGTACCAGAGTCTCCTGCCTCCTTCCTCAACTTCCTGTTCAAAGTGCGAGAGTCGGGTTGTTTGAGTTCGGACCATGGACCGGTGGTGGTGCACTGCAGCGCTGGGATCGGACGCTCGGGGACCTTCTGCCTTGTGGACACCTGCCTCCTGTTGGTTTGTAGAATTCCAGAGGAGGAAGCAGCAGCTAAACGTGTCGTTGGGTCGTCAAGGGAGAACTTGAATGTTTCTGTCGTTCTACGCAGATGTCTCTTCGTAAAGACCCGTCCTCCGTGCGTATCCGTGACGTCCTGCTGGAGATGCGGCGCTATCGGATGGGCTTGATCCAAACTGCAGATCAGCTCCGCTTCTCTTACCTCGCAGTCATCGAAGGTGCCAAGTACATCAAAGGAGATACATCTCTGCAGGCGAGTCCTCCTGTCCTCACGTTTCTTCTTGTTGACTCCACCTGCTGCTGTCAAAACGAACGGTGCTCTTTAATAAAAACTTTTTTTGATCTGAAGGAGTCGTGGAAAGAGCTCTCAAACGAGGAAGATGATCCTCCAGAGCTCAGCCCTCCCCCTCTTCCTCCTCCCAGAGACCCGTACAACGACGAAGTGGAGCTGTCCTTCCTCGATGACGTGGAGCTCATCCAGAGGATGGAGATCTCCAGTCTGGGGTGAGCGTCCAACTCAAGGGCAGGAGGGTGGAAATAAACGGCAGCAGGATGTAATGTCTCCACGAGCTGCTGCTGGGACGGTTACTTAGCAAAATAATTCAAAGTCAAGTCAACTTTATTTATGGAGCACATTTAAAACAGAAACTGTTATCAAAGTGCTTAACAACAACAACAACAATCATTGAGAGTAAAATTAAAGAGAAAAAAAAAAAAAATATATATATATATATATATATATATATATATATACACACAACACACTAATAATAATAACTGAAGAATCAATAAAAAGCATTTAAAACATAGGGTCACCGATTAAAAAAAACACTAGATCAATTGACGCTGTGTGAAATGCCTGCGAGAACAGATGTGTTTTAAGCAGAGATTTGAAGTGAGAAAGGGAGGGGGCCTGCCTGATGTTGGGGGGGCAGGTTGCTCCAGAGTAAAAACAAAACTTTTCTGTTGTCTTCTTGAGCCACAGCAGCAGCGTTAAGAGCGCTACAAGGAACAGAATTATAACGTCACGTCACAAAAGACTACGTGCAAACAATCAATTTCTGTTTCTGATGCAATCCTAAACTTTTCAGAGCCTCATAAAACTCGAGTCACAAACGTTTCAAGAGTTCTTGAATTAATTACTTTTATTATTAATTATTTGAAATGTCAGAGTTCCTTTGACATTATGTACACAGGTTCCAGTTACATCCAACAATAAAATGTAAAAGAAAAACAACAAGATCTAAGATATGAACTACTGGTAAATGTAAATGCTTTATAAAAAAAGGCTTCGGCATTTGTCTCGAAAATCAGTTTTATTTTTCATTTCCTGTGAACTACGTGTAGCTCTGAAACATACTGATAATGTTGAGAGGCTCCGAGCTAGTGCGGGTCTACTGTTAGCTCCTCGACTTGGTACCTGTGTGTTCAAGTTTTCCCCGGTAGACGAGTGGATAGCTTACCTACACCTTCGGGTGGGTGGGGTGTGGGGGGACGTGCTCTGACTGAACCCGAGTGGTGTTCTGTTGTTGGACTTCTGTGCTAGTTATAGTTTGTCCATCACAAACACCATGTTCGAACATAAGGGTGTCCATAAGTGCACTTGGCACCAGGACACACTTGGTCCTAGATCGATGATTGACGTTGCAGTTGTGTCATCCGATTTGCAGCCGTTTGTTTTGGACACTCGGGTGAAGAGAGAAGTTGAGCTGTCAACTGATCACCACCTGGTAGTGAGATGGATCAGACGGGAGGAGAAGATGCCGGACAGACCTGGCAGACCCTCATGTTTAGTGAGTGTTTGCTGGGAACGCCTGGCAGAAGAACCCGTCAGAAAGATCTTAAACTCACACTTCCAGGAGAGCTTTAACCACATCCCAGCTGAAGCGGGGGGCATTGAGTGTGGGCCATGTTCCACACCTCACTTGTTGAGGTAGCTGCCTTGAGCTGTGGCCGTAAGGTTGTCGGTGCTTCTCGTGGTGACCATCCTTGAACTTGGTGATGGACACCCTGGGTTAGGGAGGCAGTCAAGCTGAAGGAGGAGTCCTATTGGTCCTTGTTTGCTGATGGGACTTTTTGGAGGCAGCTGTGGAGTACCGGAGGGCCAAGAAGTCCGCAGCCTTGGCTGTTGCTGAGGCAGAAGCTTGGATGTGGGAGGAGTTCGATGAGGCCTTGGATAAAGACTCTCTGTCGGCTCCGAGGCGATTCTGGCAAACCATCAGGTGGTCAGCCGCCTGATGGTTTGGAGGGGAAAGCAGCACTTTATTAACACTGTGTTCAGTGACTGTGGGATGCTGTTGACCTCAACCAGTGATGTCGTTGGGAGGTGGAAGGATTACCACTCGGACCTTCTTAATCCTACCAGTACGTCTTCCATGGAGGAAGCTGAGTTGGGGTACTTCGGGGTTGGTGTCCATAACTGTGGCTGAGGTTGCCGAGGTTGTTACAAAGCTCTGCGGCGGCAGGGCTCCCGGGGTGGATGAGATTTCCCTGATTTCTTTAAGGCTCTGGATGCTGTGGGACTGTCTTGGTTGACACGCCTATGCAACATCACGTGGACAATGGGGGCAGTGCCACTGGATGGGCAGACTGGGGTGGTGGTTCCCTTCTTCAAAAAGGGGGACTGGAGGGTGCACTTCAATTATAGAGGCATCACTCTCCTTAACCATCCTTGTAAGGTCTATTCAGGGGTACTGGAGAAGCAAGTGTGATGTTGATCGAACCTCAGATCCAGGAGGAACAATGTGGGTTCCGTTCTGGCTGTGGAACACTGGACCAGCTCTTTACCCTCACAAGAGTCCTCGAGGGGTCATGGGAGTTTCCTCATCCAGTTTTAATGTGTTTTGTGGACTTTGAGAAGGCTTTTGACTGTGTTCCTTGATGTACACTGTGGGGGTTGCTTTGTGAATATGGGATTGGGGGCCCATTGCTACAGGCTGTTCAGTCCGTATACAAGCAGTGCGAGAGCTTTGGTCATATTGCTGTCAATAAGTCGAACCCCTTCAGGGTGGGAGCTGGACTTCACCAGGGCTCCTCATTGTCACAGATTCTGTTCATAACTTTTATGGACAGAATTTCTCGGTGCAGCCAGGGGGTGGAGGGAGTCCAGTTTGGTGGCCTCAGGATTCTCTGCTCTTTGCTGAAAATGTGGTTCTGCTGGCATCATCGTACCGTGATCTTCAGCTCTCACTGGAGCGGTTCACAGCCGAGTATGGAACGACTGGGATGAGAATCATCACCTCCAAATTTGAGGTCATGGTCCTCAGTCAGAAAAGGGTCAGGTCGAGGGTGAGGTTCTGCCTCAGAGTGAGGGAAGAACGGAGCATGAGATTGACAGACGGACCGGTGCAGCGTCTGCAGTATTGCAGACATTGACACGTTATTTTGATATCCTGTCTTCTCTCAGGTCCTCACACTGGAACTTAATAACTTTAGGGGGCCGAGATGGGGTAGAGGTAGGGCAGCCGACTTGGGATCAGAAAGTTGCGGTTCGACTCCCAGCCACATGTCGTGGTGTCTCTGAGCAAGACACTCAATCCCTAATTGCCCCCTGGGTGATTACATAGCTGCCCACTGCTCCACCTGGGTGTATCTCATGTGTGATGGGTTAAATGCAGAGAACTAATTTCATCATTGTCTGAGATCATACAATGATGACAATCTCAGATTTCCCTTCCCTTCATTTCGACATCATGTCTTCACTCAGGTCCTCTGAAGACCACACGGCGCTGCGGAGGAGGACCGTCGGTTTCTTCGAGCCTCCTCCTGACGAGGTGAACCAGCTGGACGGCCATGTTGGACCACCAAGTGCTCCCTCTTCGGCTCGGAACGAGACCCAGCAAGACGAGCCAGAGGAGCTGGAGCCATCTGAGGATCAGCGGATGACAGAAGGCTCTCCTGTGCCGGGGGTTTGGTCCCCTCTCCTAGTTAACGTGTGCCTGTGCACGGCGCTGGCTCTCAGTGCGTACGCTTGTTATCGAGCGTATTTCCACTGATGTCTGTCCTTCCTCTTCCTGTTTGTTGTTGTTTTTACCAACAACGTTGCAGCGTGGACTCAGCTGCTCCGTCAGGCTCATCAGTACTAATTTTGTAAACGCAGCGAGCGGTTCTGGCTGCCACACTGACCCAAACGTTCTGTCGGGATGCTCAGGTCTTCAGTTCTTCAGGTGCCACATCCCAGATCTGTGCCGACCGAACTGAGCCTGCAGAGACCCACGATCAACTCTGCCCACTTTATATGCATCTACTTTGTTTTTTTACCAAAACGACACGTCTGAATGTGTTTCCATGATTTCTCCTGTGTGCGTCAGGATTTGACAGTTTTTATTTTTATATCTGCTTACATGAACGGACTGACCAGCCAGTCAAGGAGAACTTTAATTTTCTTTTATTATGGATCAACATGAAGCCCAGCAGTTAAAAGGGAAAGTAAAAACTGTTCATTGCATGCAGATGTGGGCAGCTGTTTACTGTGTTGGGCTGGCTCAGTGGTTTTGTGTTTATCGTGTCTGATCATACGATCACAGCTTTTACAGAACATGAGGCGTCCAGGTGTCCTGACGCAACACCTTCTCCAGAGGCTGACGAGTCCGAACATCTGGCTGTAGTTGCTGTACTCAATTACAGCAGGTAATCGTGTAACTAACCTAACAGCAGCTGATACACGTCCCACAGAGAGTCCAAGGTGTGCAGTCACACCTGAGCGCCATCAGAACAGTCCGGGACACGGAGTCTGACACCCAGCACCATCAGCCAGCAATAATGATTCAAAGAAGAGATGTGTGTTTTACAGGAACAGACTCTGAGTTTGAGTTTTGGGACCAGGGAAACTGAACAAACCAAAAATCAACCACCAGCACGGGGACGATGTTCTGATTCATCATCGGACCACGGTGCAGCCCGGCGCTCGCAGTATTCTTTTGTATGATTGGTTCTTTAGCATGCTGCATTCATGAATCAAGTTTTAATGGTAAAAAAAAAAAAAAAGATTTGTTAAGCTGCTACCACTGGTTTACCGTTGGGTTAAGACAAAGTCCATCACTTTGTCCAACAGCTGGACCTTTTCTTTAGAATGTATAAATGTCCCCTCCGGGTGGAGACATGTCCTTATTAAATTTATATATAAATATATATTTCCAATCAGGTTTAGGAGTGCTGAGTTCTGGATTCAATCTCAGCACCAAGTTTTCATGTTTTCTATGCTGAGCTTAAAAACATGTATTTTTTTATTTACATTTGTTTTTCATTTTTAAATAAAGGACAAACTCTGGTCTGGTTCTGATTTTTAGTGGGATAATCGGAGCTCGGTTGTGGACTTTGTTAGCGGCTCGTTCATTTTGTGTTTCTTATCAGGCGAGTCGTGACGGGAAAAGGCCTTTCACCCTGAAGTCGTCACTTCGTTAATCACTAATCACATTCACAGAAACTTGGTCTGAGTCAGGTACATCTTTAACTTTAAATCAACTCACTTTTATATACGACAAATGTTTTACTCTTTAGTTTTCCATTTCTGAAAACCTCAATTTTCTTTTAATTGTTAATTATAATTAATTACACAAAGAGCTTTGCATATTCAAGTTAAATGGAAAAAGTTGTTTTAAATAATAGTTAAAAATGACTGAACGCTGTGTGCAAATGTTTTCAACCCCTTTGAAGCCCCGCCCATCACCTTCAGAAGTCTCCTGTGGCATTTCAAGTCAAGTGATATCTGTATATAAACACCTGTTCTGATCAGAATTGGCACGTCTATAAGAACCACTGCCAAGCAAGAGGAAACATGAAGACCAAGGACCTCCCGCCATCAAAGTGGGAGCGAGAATAGCTCCATGAGGAACGCCTATGGTTATTGTGAGGAAGGTTGATGGATAATTTTCTAAGAATTCTGCCAGATAAATCATTGTTAAAAATGACTGAAGAATGATGCGGTGTGCAAATGTTATCAACCCCTTTGAAGCCCCACCCATCACCTTCGGCAGCCACCTGTGACATTTCAAGTCAAGAGTCAAGTGATCAGTTCTGATCCGAATCAAAACGTCTAGTAAGAACCACTGCCAAGCAAGAGGCAACATGAAGATCAAGGACCTCACTGCTATTAAAGTGGGAGCGAGAATAGCTCCCTGAGGAACACCTGTGGTGATAGTGAGAAAGGTTGATGAATAATTTTTAAGACCTCTGTCAGATTAATTTGACTGAAATAAGACATGTCTCCATGAATCTGTGAGATGTTTTGTCAGAAATGACTTCCATTCTCTGTAGTGATGTGGATAAAAAGTGTCATGTTCTGAGATTCAGGGTGTCATGTTCGAAATCCTCCACAAGGTGACTCTGTAGGACTGTAACACCATCCTCTCTCTTAAACCAAAAAAAAGTTCCAGCAGCTGTTGAAGTCCTGTTAAGTTTAGCATCAATCATGTCATTTTGATTATTAGTATTTTTCCTGTAAGCAAAGTATTTATATCATGCCTCACTTTCCTCTCACGTTTCACTGCAGCTATTAAAGAGGCATTTTTTATTTTTTTTAATCATGAAATGTCCTTCGGCTTCAAAAACTGGACTTTAAATTCCAATATTTATTCTGGCCAGTCCCAAAGAGGCATTACTGATAAACACTTTGTGTTACACAAACACAACTGTTCAGTAACACCGTCTGAGTGACTGTTTTCATTTTACTGTAAAGAGTGAGCTTCAAAACAACATGAACATGCCTTCATGCACACACACACACACACACACGCTGCTTGTTTGTACAAACTTTACTACTCGGGGAGGAGTGCAGAGGATTTGGCAACTGTCTTGGTGAGAACTTCCTGTTTGGGAAATAAGAGGGATGAACTGGTACGTGTTGTACAAGAATGTAACTTCAGCGGGGTGAGTAATAGCACTCCCAAACAAACGCTCCTCTGACGTCAAGCCGACGAGCCAGAACAGGCCTCTGAAACGAGCTCAAGGTGTAGCTGTGGGCCGGAAGTGGATTCATTGCAACACTCGTTTCTAGTGAAACTCCGTCTGAAGGGGCAGCATGACTCATGCGACTGGCTGTTTGATTATTGTTAATTTATAAACGTAAACAAAATAAAGACCATCTGCAAGCACGCTTCCAGCCTTCCGATTGGCTTACAAAATGAATAATTAGTGATGCTGATGGGATATACTGAAACACTTTGAGGGAAGAAAAGTTGGAGAACAATGCTGAGTCCACATTGTGAGTCAGTCGAGACGTATACGGGCCCCGCCCTGCTGACTCCTCCAGCATGTGTCCTCAGTTTAGCTATTAACCTGGAACTTCCCATTAGTGGGCCAGCTGGGAGGTGGGGGGTGAGGGGGGTGGGGACGAGCTGCAGATGATTTTCAGCAGGAGGCCTGCAGGGATCAGGAAATTCCTGAAATGGAAGAGACTTCAGGCCTTTCCAAGTGTGACTCTGCAATGTGTGAGTCGAGAAGCTCAGCCTTAAGCGGAGCAGAGGCTCAGAGAGACTAAAGAGTTAGTTGACATGTCAGGAAGAACCGAGTCTGTTCCTGTCCTTTTTATTTCAACACGTCAAAACACACGAGACGCAGACACAGCTTTCAGGATTGACCTGTGACGAAAACAGCAGCTTGTTTACTCTGATTTATACTCACATTTATATACTCACATTTATACTCACATTTATATACTCACATTTATACTCACATTTATATA